CTATGCAACCACCATAAGCTGCACCATGCTCACCTCCACAGTCACAGCACTTCACTTTTGAATCTTTTTCACATTTTCCATGAGGACCACTGCATCGTGCACATCGTATTTTTCCTTTGCATTCTTTTGCAACATGTCCCATTCTTTGACATATGAAGCACCTGAGAGGATTTGGGATATAAGTTCTTACTCTGAAGTTTACAGATCCAATCTGAATAGATTCAGGCATTAAATTTTCAAACTGTAATATTACTGACATGGTGTCTTTCAGAATTCCATCTCTTTTATTTTTGATCCTTATTGCTTCTGTAATTTTTCCCTCCTTTGATTTCGTTTTTGATTTCATCTATTGTTACGTCAAGTGGTACTCCTGATATTACTCCCTTTAGTTTTGTAAGTATTCCAGGTCTGTATGCTTTAATTGTTTCTCCCACCAGTGTTGACATCTTAACAATTTTTTCTTGTTGTTGTTTGTTCTCTGCATGGATAAGTATTTTCCTATTATTCATGAGCCTGGCCAGTTTAATCCTCCCAGTCTCTTTCTCGATGGCTTTTGTCAGTTTAATTGGATGAAACTAACCCCCTTCCTGTTTGAACTCAATCATAACTTTCCATTCTTCTTCCTTGTTAGTTTGCACTTCTTGTGTTTGTTTTCTCGAACTTGTATTTATTTTTGTCTTTTTGCTAATGTCTTCTCTTGATTCGCTCTCTTCTGACCAGCTTCTCGCTCTCTCCTGTCTTTTCCTTACATTTCTTTTCATTCTAGATGATCTTGCCATCTCCCATTCCATTTCACCACCACTATTTCCGCCTGATGTGGAAGCCATTAAGTTACATTCAACTTGAATTTGTTGGCTACCCATCGCCCTKGTCAAATCTGCCACGTCAACAGCGTTCCGTCCCCTTCTCTCCTTGGCAGCCTCTCCARAAGAGGAACTGCGGTCCATGTGCCAGCTTTCCACTGACTTTCAGCATCCTTTGTTACAAAGTCCAAAGTGCTCATGGATATACCGACTGATAATGAGGAGATGGTTTGATTGGATCTGGGAAAGGCACCTGTTAAGACATTTTTTGCCCTACCAATTTTACAAAAATAAATATTTAGCGAAATTTTAAAAAATAACTTTTTGTTCATTAGATGAAAATTGTTTAAGAAGCTGAAACAACAGAGTAGCAAAATGCTAACTAAAAATATCAAAGCATAAGTAAATGCTAATAAATCTAGCTAAAAAAAAGTTAAATGCTATAATAGTTTAGCCAGTGGTGGGCACAATTCCCCCAAAGCACTAATAGGGGAACTAATTTCCTGATTAGTGCTTTAGTGCATTTCCTAATTTAAAAAAAAAATTTGGTGGATTAGCACTTGCTAAATTTATAGGCTAAATTTAGAAGCACTAACTGAGGTCTATAAAGGCAATTGATCAATGTTAACTGACGGTGAAAGCTGACGCACATTTTGTTCATATGTGTGTCACTTATCCACTAGGTGAAAATATATTGACATTATATGAACACAAACACGACTGTGGAATGTCCATGATAAGGCAAGAGAAACATGGCAATATGTGACTCATATGTTGTCTGTTGAAGTTCATGKGTTGATTGGGTTATTTTAGTGCTTTAGAATTAACTTCAGCTAAATTTTTAGTGTGTTAGTGATTTAGAATTAGGGGACCTAAATATCTGAGTTAGTGCTTTAGGGCTAGTGGCACTACTTTTTAAGATTAGTGCTGCCCACCACTGAGTTTAGCTGATTAGCAACAAGTAGCTAAACCTAAAACTRGTAAACRGCTAGCAAAAAGCTATACTGTATGTAGCATACAAAACACTAAATAAAAGCAGGAAAAAGCTAGTTAAAATAATGAAAAGGGTTGATTTAAAGCAGTATAAGGCAGAKTGAATGCTAAATGTATTAAAATGTTAGTTAAAAATGATAGTGCTAGCTAAGTAGGTATTTAAAGTTCAGCTAAATTTGACAAAAGGCTAAGTAAAAGCTAAAAAAACAGCACAAGGCTTGCTAATAAAGCAAAAATGCTAATTAGCTGATTTTGCTTTGCTGTTGTGAGAGAAAATGGAAAAAATGCTTCTAAAYTTCAAAAAATAAACAGCAGGTCCTGTTTTTTATGTTTTTTTCCAAAGAGCCAGACATTTTCTTTGTGATAAAAATTAATAATTCTTGTCACGATTTGTCTCTCAGTATATCAAACACATCAACTTCACAGAACTGGAACTTGCCTGGAGGCAAGGTGGGAACTGATCATGTGCCTTTTTTATTTATTTATTTATTTTTTTATAGCTGCTTCTAACATGAGTCAGGGCTGACACATTTAGGTTGGGAACAAAATGTGTTCCCACACAGAACTGACGCATTCTAGCAATTTACACACACCAGTAAAGGTTTGTTTTAATGGTTTTGCTCACTCAGAAACAGAAGAAATCAAAGGCCTTGATTTCCTTGAGAGAAAGCATATCAACYGATTAGCTGGGCACAACATCACAGAAAAGTCACAATTTTGTCTGTTCAACAGACAAACACAAGCACACACAAAGACATTAATTTCCATCCTTGCCTTTCAGCAGCAGGTGATRAATATGGAGGGATTATGTCACATTATTATTTAATTCACCTAATTAAAGCAATCCAAATAGTAAAAAAAACAAGAACCCACCTTAAAGCCATCAATATATATTACGATAAAAAAAAATTGGTGCAGCAGAAGTTCAGATTGTTGTCTTATCCGATTACTTCTTCGTCTTGCTGCAGCGTCAGTCTATTCTTTCCACAAATTACTTGCAACGATGCCTAAAAACAACAAAAGTCCCAAGTTTCTGTTGGAGCTAAACTGCTTCCAGCAGTCCTCTGCTTTGTTGATGTCCACTCTGTAAATCTACAAAAAAAAAAGAGGAAAGTAGAAGTTTGAACAGGCAAATTATACAGAGACTACAGAGGCTTGATTTCTTGATTTCAGAGGCTTATTGAAGTGGAACAATTCCAACCACAGTGTCAGGGTCAAACACTACTGTCACTTGACCAATGACACAGGAAGCTTCGGACACCATCACTGCTTGACTCAGAGCTTCACTGATTTAAAATGCTTGAATTGCTCAGAGTGTTTAAATCAAGTTTTGTTGGTTTGAGATTGACACAGWGTCAGTGCTTCATTTTCTCTCCTGCTTTGTCATCAGTTAACCACTAGATGTCCCTGTTATTCTCTTTGAGTCTTTTAAAGCAGCATGAGACGTCACCTGCCCGTCACTACATTTTAAGAAATATTTTGAACTCAACGCCTATTTTTAGTTTAAGTGAAGGGTGTCCATTCCTGGTCCTCGAGGRCCATTATCTTGTATGTTTTGAAGGTTTCTCTAATTCAACACACCTGATTTGAATGAATGGGTGATGACTAGKCTTCTACAGAACTTGAAGGTAATTCAATCACTGAATCAGGGGTGTTAGAGCAGGGAAACAAGTAAAATCTGAAGAGTAGCGGCCCCTCAAGGACCAGGATTGAACAAAAACTTGATGCCAGTTTATTACAAACATAAAAGTGATAACAGATTCCTCACCTGTTGTATTAGGTGAATGGCAACAGTGGCCAATGCGGCGTAGTAAGGAGTAGTTTGTCCTGCGTTGACACCGGCTACAACCAGCCCTGACACCATGGCCACGGTGAAACCACTTAACCAGAGTTTGGTTTGCTCCTGGAACTTTAGTGCAGTGGATTTTACCCCKACCTTAAGGTCATCATCTTTGTCCTGGAAGATAAAACACCAACTTATCTTACTTTGAAAATATTAAGTTCCCCTCCTATATTACCGACACCAATATCCAAACAAACAAGATCCAAGATTATCCTTATTACGGTTAAATAAGATCCGATGAGCTGTGTGCGTCACCTGATGAGCGTATATAGTGTCATATATCAGCGTCCACATCACTCCTGAGAAATACAGCGGAAGGCACACAGACCAGTCACACGAACCCTTCACAGCAGCCCAGCCGAGCAGAGCGCCCCAGTTAAAAGTGAGCCCTGAGGAAAAGAAATCAAAGAGCTTTCGCTTTACTGATTTACACAGAGAATACAAACAACGTTCATACAGCACATACCCAACACAAACTGAGGCCAGTAAGTGATTCTCTTCATCAGCGGGTAGGTGACGACCAGACATAAAGACGAGGCACCCAGAGCTATGCTGTTAGGAACATATATGAAAGAACCATACTCTTGTGGTCTCGGTTTGGACTAAACACRTGATTCTTTRCTCCATCTTGTACAACAAACAAAAAAGTGAAATCAAAGCTAAAAAATATCCAGCCTAATTTGATAAGAATGCAATCTGCTTCTGATTACCTGTAGTAGTTGAGACACAGAAGAACGCCAAGTGCAAGAGAGAGCTGTCCTCCGAGGAAAACTAGCGCCTGCTTTCGGGAAATCTGCCCCGCTGCGATGGGCCGGGAAGCTGTCCGSGACACCTGCACGAAAACATCCACAACTACCATTAGACAGGCTAAAATGATAACAAATTGTGCACTTTTTCTTGTAAAACTGCAATAWATTTAGCATTTTTACTGGGATTATGAGTGACACTGATGCAAAAAATGTTAAAAGCATAACTACAAAGTTATTTTGTACTTATGCTTAAGGGGTGTTATCAATGAATGCAGTGTAAATATTTTTAAAAAAACTTGTTACATAGAGTATTTAAATGTATTAAATTTCTAATTCCATTAGTTAAAGATTTTGATTGATCTTGTTTCTGTTTCATTTTATGGGTTTGTCAAGTTAAACAATTTAGAAAAGGCACAATTCACTGATGAATTTTCTTGTTTCCTTAAWCAAACTAGAAAATACTTCATGAGCACAAAGTAAAAACTGTGTGTTGGTCTCATTTACTTGTTTGTCGAAGTCTTTATCCCACATGTCATTAATGGTGCAGCCAGCACCCCTCATGAGCACAGCACCTGTACCAAAYAGAGCCAGTAGGCTCAAATCTGGGAGACATCCAGGCTCTGCAGCCAGAGCGATGCTCCACGTGCAGGGAAGGTACAGCAACCATGTTCCTGCAAAAAACAAACACAGATTTTTGAAATGGATTCAAATCTAATTACATTAAATGTATATTTGATCAATAAAACGTGGCTGAAAATCAGACAGCTCTTGATAGTTTTGTATTACAAAACTATCAAACTATCTAATTTGTAATAATGATGCTTAATRAATATTTTGTTTGTTTTTTCAGACCAGCTGCTTACATAAAAAGTGTGTTTCTGTGAAATAATAAAAGCACAAACCGATGGGTTTGTCCAGCCTCATCAGTCGGAGGTATGGCTGAACACGAACTGGTGCTGAGTTCACCACAGAAGCAGCAGAAAGACTAAACGACCTTTTCTCGTTGAGATGTTTGTCTTCCAGTCTTACAGATGAACATAATGGACTCTGGMAGCGTAAAAAGTGGAAACTCTTAACAGGTTTCTCTCTTCGGATGAAGCAGGTGGTCAAAGTTAACCTGCTGCTCAGTTTAGTGAACAACATAGAGATTCAACTAAATATTTACTATTTTYACAACGAAAAGACAAAAACAAAAARCATCAATCAAAAGTTTAGTTTCTTCTACAGTCAATAAGAAACAACCTCTTTTCCCTTCTTTGTTGTGGTCCGTTCAGTGTAAATGCTCCGGCGGAAACAAGATCATTAGGCGGAACAATTTGATGCGACACACACAGCATCACAACATCCACACGATTTTCACTTTTCCTCATTCTAAAAAAGCTTATAATATTCCTTAGTTTAAATATAAATTAAAAATATAAAATTAAGCACAACCGATTCTAACATGACGATATTTAAGGCATATTTCTCACAGTTTATGTGGGCATTTTTATTACAACCGAAGGTGGCAGCAGAGGCAGCCGAGCGCGTGAAGCCGCGAAGGAGAAGAAAAGAAAAGAAGAAGTCGCTGAGTTTTTGTACTCGCGGGAAAAATGGCGGAAAYGTGCGTTGTGTTCATGCTAACAACAGAAGTGTTTCAAAACATCGCCTTGTAAGACTTTCCCGTGTCCACCTCCAAATGTGAGTACATCACCTGTGCACAGCGAGTGTTAAAGMCTCTCATGTTTGCCAGCTTGATCATGTTTGCAGACGTTTAGTTACTTTTTCTGTTTATAAAGCTGTTTTTTTTCCGCCTCCGTCCTCTTTGCTGTACCGTACGTGTAGCACAGAAAGTTAGTTGAAAAAAGTTGAGAGGTTTACTGAGCTGATCTAAAACAGACACTGCCTTTGTCTTTTTTATAAACTCACTTTGGCTTAAATAGATCTGCAAGGGCTGCTATAAAATTGTTATAAAGTATTTTAAAGCCAACTGTCTATTGTACTAATTGTCATATTTCTAACCATGTAGGTGTGTCACAAGTGTCTGATAAAAGTAARCTGAATGAGGAATGCAAGATGCAAAGTGGTATGTGTTGAACGGACAGTGCATATAATTTTTCTTGTGTAACAAAGGCTGCATATTTTAAAACGTATATATTTCTCTCCATCTTTAGATTCTGTACAGTTTTCCACCCTTGAGCACATAGAAGAATCCAGCAGTCAAGCCAGCGCCCAGTCAAACCCGGTCAGTTCTTACAATTGTATTAAGTGTCCGCTAATTTTCAAATCCAAAGTGTACCTCTATGAGCATCTCAACAAAGTTCATTGCTTAGATGYGGATGCTGCGCTCAGAGGCGCTGGTTTGAAGTATGCCGAGAGTTTCACGGCCTCCGCTGGAAAACGCACAAATTTCAAATGCTATTTTTGTGATTTTAAAACTTTCCATAAAGACGTTTTGAAAAAGCACGAGAAACTGTGTCAGAAGACTGAAAATCATAAATTTGTTGAAACTGTAGTTATTCCTGAAGACCCAGAGAGCGAAGTGCTTGGCAGTTCAACGAACCAATGCAATGACGCTTCATTGGCAGAAACAGATCCTTTGTCGGAAGCTAAGTGTGCACCCAAAACGTCAAAGGATCTTAAAACATACAAGAGGCCGCAGCAAACCATCACCAAGTTCTTTCCAGCATCATCTGGATCGTCCAGCTGCAGCCCCAGCTCCAGTGGTGTGTGTAGTTTCAAGTCAAAGTCTCTCATTGATATCATCAGCGGGGCCGACTCCGCTAAGTTTTTGCGAGATGACGAACTTTTGACCACCAACCGCAGCGCACCCGAGCACAAGGACAGATACAAAGAACTTCATAACAACAGTATTTCAGAACAACCTCCTGCAAAAAAAGTCAAATTGGGGAAAGAACAGGAAACGTTTCCAGAACAAAATGCTCATAAACCATCTCCAGTCAGCACAGATTTTTCATTCGAATTCAGTGAGGATGAAGAAGACAAGAACCTTCACCTTTATAATAAAGACCCATCCAAACCAAAGGTTTACTCCTGTAAGCACTGCGACTATATAGATGGCAGCTTTAGTCGTATGACTTCACATTATCATAATTCTCACCCTTACATCAGATGTAGCGCTGCCTATATTCAGCTCCCAAACGACCAGGATGCATCCTTCCGCTGCCTCGAGTGTCCAGTTGAGTTTTTAAGCAAAGCTGATCTGAAGTTGCACTACTCAGAGAAGCATCCTGAGACTGCAGACATATTCAAGATGAAACTAGATGAGCTCAGCTTAGTTTTTAAATGTTTTTCCTGTCCGTTCACCACCAACCTGCTGAAGGCTTTAAGAGAGCATTACAAGGAAAAGCATCCGACTTGCAACTTGAGCAAACCTTTGTTGTTCTGTCAGTATTCAAAGAGCAAATGCCAGGATGAACCAACTCCAGTTAAAACACATAACAAAATGTCCAGTTCAAAAAATTCACGAGAGCTATCTCCTGAGAAGAGCAGCGCATCTTGTAAGGAGGACAAAAATACCCAGTCACCACAGCATTCCACTGCTAAGGAACGAGACCTGTATAAATGCAGCAATTGTGGGTTTGTGCATAAGTCAGCTGTTGTTATGCATGTCCACTACCAAAAGAACCACCCAGAAAAGGCRGTCACAATCGATAAAATCAAACAGTCGGCCCGTGACGCATCGCAGAGGATTCCTGAGGAAAAAAAAGACAAACCTGAGCCGTTTCTGCAAAAGAAGAGTACGTCGTCTTTGCCCAAACACACAACCGAGGCATCCAAAAATCCTTCAGAGGTTTCTATAACCAAGCCGGTGGAATCTCTGCAGGATAAAACCACAACACCGACACCGTCCTCTACATGTAGCAAAGAAAAGATAGTTGGATTGAAGTCATCAAGTTCATCAACAAAAATGTACTACTGCAGGTTTTGCAGTTACACGAATTCTGAGATCAGAAGCGTGCTGGGTCATCATTCTGCAAGACACTCTATAAAGCCATCAATAACTATGAAAGACATCTTGCTGTATAGTGCTATTGTGAGGAAAAAGTTGATTAAGGGTCAAACTCCATCTAAGGCAAGAAAACAAAGTAAAATACGCACCAATACTGAAACTGGCTTTGAAGAGGATGGTGCTGAAGATGTCTCTGTGAGTAAAACTCATGACCCGACCGATGCAGTAAAAATGTTCTTTTGTCAAACATGTAATTATGGTAATTCAACCCTGCAGGGAGTGATCAATCATCAAGTCAAAGCCCACCCATCATTTACTATTAAAACTCAATTGGTTATTGAACACACAGCTATGGTTCAAGAACAACTTAACAGTTCAAACTCAAATCTACCTCTTCCTATCCTAAACGATGGTGATGAAGATAAGTTTTTCTGTGACTTGTGCAACTATCGGCACAGAACCATGTACATGGTATTAGCGCATTACTCCAAAATGCACAATAGTTGTGCTGACAAGGCTGCCGACCTCCACCAGTACACCGCTATGGTTCTCGAACGGGCACCAAAATTATCTACAAAGCAGGAACAGCCGAAGAAAACCGAGAAGAAAAAATCCAGCAAACCTGCAGAGCCGTCATCAGTAACAATCTCAGAAACGCAGAGGAAACTGAAATGCTATGTTTGTGAATACAGTACTCCATATGTGTCTCTTTTGAAGACTCACTTGAGAAAGTCCCACAATTTGAATCGCTCAGTCCCACATATTTTAGGATTTTGTTTTCGACAAGGCTCGATAGAAGCAGGCTACCACTGCGTGTGGTGTCTTTTTAGTCACAAAGATTCAAAGGTGGTCTATAAGCACTACCAGGAACACCACCCAGAATGCACAACAAGCCTGGACTATGTAYGTGATCAACTGTGCGTTGGTCTCAACAAAGTGCAATTGAAGAAGAAGAAACCGAAGCTAAAGTCGGCTCATCTGGGCAGTGACAGGGACAGCAGTCTGACACACAAAAGTTCAAGACAAAATGACAGCAAGACGTATTCATGCACTAAGAATGAAGCTCACCCTACGCTTGCAGAAGACAACAAATCAGATCCTCCAAAGAATAAGGGAGCAAGCGCAAAAAGCCAGTTAGAAGACCTTATTGAGATGCCTGGGGTGTTTGAGTCTTTYCAAGTGCCCCTTGAAGACAAAGGTGAAGCAGAACAAATGTCCAAACAGTTTAAGTGCTCTTTCTGCTCTGCAACGTTTGTCTCCCAGCATGGTCTCAGCGTTCACTGTGGAATGAAACACCTCGAACTTATAAATGTGGAAGAACCGAGGAAACAAGCAAAAAGCCAAATGCGTGTGCATGTCTTCAAGTGTCCCCACTGCACCTACATCAACACTGCCTATCAGGGAATTCTTGCTCACTGTCAAATGAAGCATCCTGATCTTGAACCCAGGGCAGACAGTCTTCACGTGGATCTGGTGCATTTATACAACCGAGATAAATATATTAAAAAATATGAATCTGGCGAGAAGATAAAACTCAAGGGGCACATGTGTAAAACCTGCCCAAAGGTCTGCGCAACACTGGATAAACTGAACAGACACTGTGAGCTAGACCATAYCAGTCATCTACCAAGCACGCCCAAACCTGCTGCCAAACCATCAACTGTTAGCAAAATAAAACTTACCAAGCCTCACAGCTCTAATAAATCTGTGTGGAAAGTTTCGTTTCTGAGTAACACAAAAAAATTCAGAATGAAATGCCAGCACTGTTCGTACACGTACACCACAAAACTTGGTCTCAGTCGACACATACAGAAGAAGCACATGGATTTGGTCCCACAGGACACTGTGTACAAGTGCCCACTCTGTCACTTATTCTACTTTCGTCAACATCTACTTGGAAGGCATCTTTATAAGAGGCATGGAAAGGCTTCCCACTCAAAATATTATCTGTCAGTATACAAGCAGGCCACCATGATGCCAGAGTCACCGTCTCAGGATCCTCCATCACCTCAGGATCATTCGTCCCCTCAGCAACAGGAAAATGACTCCTCAGAGGACAAAAAGTTGGTCTATAAGTGTCCAAAATGTCCTTACGTGAATGTTTGTCACCACGGAGTTATCACTCACTGCCAAATGAAGCATCCAATGTTCGAAAGAAGAACAAGGAAGCTGGAAATGTGCGAAATACTTGTCTCCGACATTGTTGGATGTTCAACCGGAAAAGGAGCCTATAAAAGAGGTTACTTGTGTAAAAAATGTCCTCAAGTTCATCCATCGTTAATAAAACTGAAAGCCCACTGCAAGGTGGCGCACTGGAACGTGGCAGCTTCTGATGAAACTGAAGCAAAGAACGTGGCTGTTGACGATCCTCTGGGCTCGACACTAGAAGCTGCCCCCATAGAAACTGCACAAGCAGTCGAGGCTTCTCACCGTTTAGGCACTTGGAAGACATCAGACTCACAGTCGCAGCAGGAAAAAGACAAATTTTATAAGTGCCAACTTTGTGCTCATGCGACATTTTCTCGGTCATACCTATGGAAACACTATAAAAACGTTCACAAACTGAATTCGGCGACTAGGTGCAAGCTGCTGCAAAAGTACAACAAGAAACCGAAGCTAAAGTCGGCTCATCTGGGCAGTGACAGGGACAGCAGTCTGACACACAAAAGTTCAAGACAAAATGACAGCAAGACGTATTCATGCACTAAGAATGAAGCTCACCCTACGCTTGCAGAAGACAACAACTACATTTTTTACACAAGTAACCTCTTTGTTGAACAGGAGAAAACTGTCAAGTGTAAGAAATGTCCAGACTTGGTGTTGGACTCGTCTCAATTGCTTATTGACCATTACAATACTTTTCACGGCTTGGCTCACAAATCAGACTTCACGGTGGTATCATTTGGATTTAAAAAGAAGACCACAGGGGCTTACACATGTGGCCACTGTCTGAAGAGGTTAAATGGAACCAGGAAACTCCGTATTCACCTGGATCACCACAGAACAGCGATGAAGAATATGGCGGTGGAAACGCAGGAACAGGCTTCACCAGTCGGCCTGTCATCGGAGCCCAACCCCTTTGAGGTATGCCAACTCCGATCGAGCACGCTTCGTCTTTCTCAGAACTACGTTTGAGAGTTGACCTCTGTAACTTTGTTTAATTTGCAGCTCTACAAACAAGCTCAAGTGTCGACCGAAAGCGTAGAGGACCTTGCCGAGCKTAAAGAAACATCAGAAGAGGACGTCGTACGGCCGTCGAGTCCCAGAGCGTCCACTTCAAAAGTCACAGAGGCCGATCCAGATGCAGACGTCGTTAATGACAGATTTCCTTGTAAACAGTGCCACCGATCCTTCCGGTCACTAAAAGGACTGCGTGCACACGATCGCAGCCACGCCGTCATGGCGGCCATCAATAATCTGGACAATCTKCCGACTGCAGAGTTGAAGAACGAGTAAGCAAACATTTTTAGCAACTAACATAAGGCATCTAACAAATCTACATTTTCATCACTAAGTTTATAAAACTTTACAGTGCCAGTTTGTAATGTCACATATTTAACAGCAATTCTATTTAAAATGTAATGTTTCAAAAATACATAAAATTCAGTTTAATGTAGTTTAAACCTTATTCATTTCATATAAAACAAAATGTACAATAAAATAAAAGACAAATACAATGAAATGAAAGGAAGCAGTGAGAAGAAAAAAAATCTTATATCTGTCCCTTTTTTCCTCAAGTATAAATTCAAACAATAGTAATCTTCAGCTAACAAAACAAAACAAACATCAAATCTTCCTAGAACAACAAATCATATGGTAACACTGTTTCATATTTTTTTCAACAATYCAAGTGATTTGGCACTTTTACCATAATTTTTCAGATCATTCCACAATCTGACTCCTTGGATTGAGGTGCATCATTCTTTCAAACATGTTCTAAATTTAGGTTTCATGAACATCTCCAAACCTTTAAGATTATAACAGCTCTCTCTTTGCAAAGTTTTTCTGGTTGTTTAAAATTAATGTATTTTTGTGAGCCTTATACATAACTAACAAAATGCTATAATAACCAAATCATAAAATTTTAATAATTTCTGTTTACAAAATAATGTATTAGATGGATAATGGTAATGTTTTTGAGTGATGACTCTTATAGCTCTTTTCTGCAAAACAAAAACAGGATTTGTAAATGTCTTACATGCTTTACCCCATACACTCAATGGACCAAGTGTGGAACAATTAWTGTGTTATATAACATATACAGAGCTTTATCATTAAACAWATCCYTCACTTTGTAAAACAATGCAATAGATTTAGCTAATTTTATTCTTAAATAATTTATATGAGGTTTCCAAAATAAAATACAGTGTTGTGCAGCTAAAGCCTAAAATACATTTACCATAATTAGTTAACGTTGTAATACTTCCATTGTTCTTGTTTAAAAATTCCGTATTTTACTAATTAAATTTCTGAACTTTGTCTTTCTTTCACCAGCATCAAAAAGTGCATCTTCTACAGAGCTGGGACTGTGAAGCCTTTCAGATGTAGCTGCTGTTCCTATAAGACAAATCTCATGGGTCTCATGCAAAGTCACATCCTGAAAAACCATCAAGGTCAGAAAACTTCTGAACTTTGTCGCAAATTTGTAAAGTGAAGCTCAAGACTAGACTAGAATGTTGAATTAGAACAAGTGGCYGCCTCCTGTTGTTTTCACCCTGACCTACAGAATCCGAATAAATTGCTACTTTGTTGATTTAAACARACTTAGTTTTTAAGTGGTTTGTTACATTGACGTTAATAGATTGTGAGGATGTATCAATCAGGACACGTTTTTCTTATGTATACTTAGCGTTTTATTCTTTTTCATTTTACTGTCAAATACTCAGATATCCTTCAGAGGAATAATATTGAAACCAGCAGTAAGGATGAGGAAATCTCTCAGGAGGTAGAAAGGGAGCCTTCTGATTCATCTGTGAAAAATAACTTACCTGAACTTGATGATGAACCAGAGGAGACTGAAGGTAAGTCACTCTGCTCATGTTTTATCTTATTAAATTAAAATTAAAAAAAAATTTTTTTTGCTGTGGTGGTCCCACTAAAAGACCGTTACACCATCTGCTCTGACAGAAACGCTGTACTTGGAGCCTGCAGATGTGCAGCGGCAGTTGAACCACTACAGCTTGATGGCGCAGATCACTGACAAAACGAGCACCAACGTGCTGGAGTTGACGTTGCCGGAAAACTGCCTCCTGCAGTGCGAGATTTGCAACTTCAACACCGAGTACCTGTCCAGCATCCGACGGCACTACCATAACCGCCACGGGAAGAAAATGCTCAGGTGTAAGGACTGCGAGTTCTACACCTGTTCACGGTAAGCCACAGCAGCAGAAYTTCAGCGGATGCAAATTTCTCAGAAAAGTAAAACATAAAGTGTGAGAAACCAGTTAAAGAGCTTTAAGCGTCTGATTTGGATGCTCCCTAGACATTTCCATAGGGCAGGGGTGTCAAACTCCAGTCCTCGAGGGCCGCTATCCTGCATGTTTTAGAGGTTTTCCAGCTCCAACACACCTGATTCAGTGATTGAATTAACTCTTCAAATTGGGCAGAAGCCTGTTAATTACCCAGCGATCAAAATCAGGTGTGTTGGAGCAAGAAAACCTCTAAAACATGCAGGATAGCGGCCCTCGAGGACAGGAGTTTGACACCCCTGCCATAGGGAGATGTTCCTTACATGTTCAACAGCCTATATGCCACGGCCATTGATGACGTATTTCCGTTAAAATTTCAGCCACGCACCTCCCTTCCACTTCCTGCCTACTGCCTGTTGTTTTTAGCGTTAGCTCCTTGTACTAGTCCATGAAAAAGTCACAAAAGTTAAAGCGTCTGTGAGCTACTGGTACAAAAAGTGAGTTCTGTTGTGTGCCGTTGTGTCCACTAACCAGTAGGTACAATAGAGGATGTAGTTAGTTTTTCCTCCATATTCTTCTTGATGAGGAGTAAAGGCGACAGCAGAGGATCATAGCAATACAGGGAAAACTTAGCTATAAAAGCTCACGCTCGCATTTGTAATCGGCATTTCTAACCTGAGGATATTCAAGAGCCAGCGTCAGAAATGAGAAGACGAAGGTTACAAAAGGGAAATGTACAATTGTCCCCATTCACTGCCAAGACCGGGAGAGCAAAGACCACCTCCAGAGGACAGCTAGGAGGAAGCTAACAGCAGCCAGTAAAGAGATGTTCTAAGGGTCATGATTATGCCGCTACTCCAGACTCTGCAGTTGTGGATTTAGAGCTGGAGGTAAATTATATTATCCGGGAGGAAATCCGCCAGCTACGGGAACAGTTTGAGAGCCTGACGCTGAGGCAGCTGTTCRTCATTCACCATTTTGCTGCTTCAGACAAGGACATTAATTAGATCCTTCATAAGGTATGTGTGTGTACGCACGTTTGTGTTATACAGAGTATGAAATTATTTTAGGAAACTTTTTCATGAGTTTTATGCAAAAGTAAARACTTGCCAGAGTGTATATTACAGTGTAGACACAACCCGAGTAGTGAGAGCAGCAGAACCTCCACCTAAAAATCATTCCTTGTTTTAAGTTAACCAACATTGGGGAACACGATCCAAACCAAGCAAGTAGCCCATCGATTTAAAGCCCAGACTCTGCTCTTTCCAACAATATAAGTGTCACAGCTCTACATCAAAAATCCACAGAACAAGCAGCCAAGGAAGAGTGAAAAAAAATCTAAATTCTGGAACCATAAACAAGAACGTCTTTGTTTGTTTTTTTATGGCTTTAATCCACTTTGGAGTGATTTTTTTCCACTTGGCTGGACCTGTACGTCTCCTGTGTTAATGTTGGTACATGTAATATGCTAATTCTGTACTGTGGAGATCATTAACAGTTGTCATGTGAAAAAGTCTTYTGCTAACACAGTGTTGCCTGCGAACCGGAAGACCGGTGTGTGGCCAAAGAATGCAGAAGTGCTAGAACGGAAGTCCGTGGCATAGMGGCTACTGGGAGGAGATCCCAGGTTTCCATTTTGCATTGATAAGGCACAGAAATAAATGGGCGGGGTTTAATAAGTGGGAAAGTATTTGCAGCTCTTCACGTTTGCATTTGAAATGATTTCAGTTAAACACTTTGCACGGTTGGTTTTCACATCTTTTTCTTAGWAAAACCTTGGAGATGCACGTTCAGATGGGCCACTCCTCCTGTCAGTCCGAACCTACCCATCAGAAGGACCTCCGCTGTCCGTTCTGCCTCTACCAGACCAAGAACAAAAACAACATGATCGATCACATCGTCTTACACCGTGGTATGTCGATCAGGATTTAGAGCTTCACCCTCTAAATATCTGCTACACGTCTTCCTATTTTAACTCTGCGTTTTGTGGTTTTCAGAGGAACGCGTGGTGCCCGTAGAGGTGCGTCGTCCAAAACTGTCCCGTTATCTTCAGGGCATCGTCTTCCGCTGCCACAGATGCACTTTTTCTAGCGGTAGCGACAAAAACCTACGCTTGCACATGATGAGGCACGATGACCTCAAACCTTACCAGTGTCGGCTGTGTTACTTCGACTGCACTCAGCTGGCCGACTTGGAGGCGCACCTGAACGATAAACATCAGGTGAGGATTTGTCCCTGAAGCCCTCTGTGCATCACTGAAATTCCTTTAGATCTGAAGAAACAACCAGCTGTTCACAGCGAGGGAAAAAGGGTTAGACTGATTTATTTTAGTGACACTTTTTCCTGTTAGAATAGAATAGAGTAGAATGCCTTTATTGTCATTACACGCGTGCATAATGAGATTAGAGCCACTGCAATTACCTACATTTATACAACAACAAAAAAAGACATTGTTTGGAAAGATTGTTGGAGCTAAACCAGCAGATACATATTTTGGTTGTTTAGAAATTGTCTACAGGTATAGACAGTGGTGGGCACTAGTCCCCTAAAGCGCAAATGCGCTAACTGCGGACCTAAATTTCTCCTTTGCGCTTTAGGGGTTTTACTAATTTCATAAAATGATGTGCAGATTTGCACTTTCTAAATTTAGAATTGAGTAGCGCTAATCGCAAATAATGTTTCACATTCAAAAGTCAATTTCATCTAAAGTAAAGAGAAAGAGCCGTCTAGTCCAAGGGCGTAACTTTGTGCTGTAAGTTGGTGGGGATGCACCATGGGGGACGGGGTCTGACGCACCCACAGTTGTGCGACCAGGTTTTTCTGTTCATGTCTTCAGTGTGTGCTCAGTTTAACTGTCTGCACTTGTCAACAACTGAACACCAGATGTTTCTGTTGTGATGCAGTAATACTCAAACCATACTGACTGAGATTATGTTCACCTTCATTCAGCCATGCACTGTTCCTGCCCTTTAAACTCACCAAGTATACAGTTTGATAATCMGCCATAGTTTCATACAGAGACACACAGGTGGAGCACAGGTGTGTTGGTTTATTCTCTCACATAAGAAGTCTTATAATAGTAAAGGACACMCTGGAGGGAGGTCTGGGGGTCCTGACCGGAGGTTACTCCGGTCAGTCTGCTCGGTGCTCCTCTCCACTTCAAATAGGACAAACATTAAAAATAAAGTTCTGTAAATTATTTATCTATCAACACAATTTAAAATATGATGTAAAGCCTCAAAGCTGTAATTTTTCGCACAATTTGGAACAATTTTTTACAAAAAGCAAATCTTTCCCACTAAATTGATCATGTGACTAGGAGGACATAAGGGTGTCCAGGGACTCCAGGGGGATTAATCGTCAAATTAATTGTTATCGGCTAAATACCATAATTAATCTTGATTAATTTTTTTGCCATTGTTGCCCAACCCTACTCTGAAGTTCAGAGAAAAGGWAGGAAGGGAGGGGGTCAGGGGGAAGGTGTCGCAGGTTCGCAGTAGCGCTCCTGTATGGGATGAGAAGCAGGAGCGGGGAGGGGGCGGAAGGGAGGAAGTGTCGCAGGTACCTTTTTTTTTCTCGGAAAAAGGTACAGTAGACACAGCAGTTGCTGCTGCCTACTGTTGGGAAATTTAGATGCACGCAAAGGAAAAAAGATGTGCGAATATTGGTGGGGACTTGTCCCTGTCCGGCCAAAGTTGGTGGGGACATGTCCACACCAGTCCTTCAGAAAGTTACGCCCTTGGTCTAGTCTCACTACGTTTAGCAGCCACATAAWTCATTAAAACTTYGTCATGATTTTCTTGAACACTGAAGGGGAAAGCCGTCTCTACTTAATACAATGAGCCTTCATTGTGAGGWAACAGCGAMCCCTCAGTCAGCACTGCGTTCACAGAGCTTTATACTCTGACTTCTGACTCTTCTCGGTGACGGTTTTCACTTAGTAGAGACTGTAGTGATCCCACAATTCTTTGCGTGGCAAGTAGCAATTAGAATTTCTTCACTTGGTGACAATCCACCTGCGGTTCTGATCTGCAGAACCACACTCGTCTGTGCRTATTGTACTTCCTCTCTGAGGTACACCGCGGCAATAAATAAAAAAAAAATAAATAATAGTAAAGAAAGAAACACGGAACAGTTTAAATTGACGCTCTTATTTTGAAAAGAACAGAGTTCCTGTACTGTGTCCTGTAGCCTACCTAGAATGCATTTCTTCAGTTTTACATCAAACAGTTTAAAATTACTAAAAAATCTATATGTTTTCTTACTGAAGCCCTGCCATAAACATAAGAAAATGACCAAGAAGCAGCAGAACTTGCAATCCACAACTATTTTTTGTTTTACAACCATGATTTCTACGAATCACCTCCCCATTCTGCTTCAATATGTGCAAATCTGTCAAAGAAAACAATCTTACCACTAGATAGTAGTAAAGTGCTGAGTTTTCTCTTACCTGAATGTTTTCTGGTAAACAGAGATTATGTTGAGCTTTAATATTAGCTTCCGCTAAGTTTTATTGAGCATATGTGCTTTTGAACTTGCGGACCTAAATAAATTGACCAGCGCTTTAGAAATTGCAAAACTAAAATTTAAATAATATATTAATATTTAATTTATTTATTGACTGATTACATGTTTTGTGTGTGCGTCCAGGTTTTGAGGAATCATGAACTTGTTGGTCAGGTTCACCTTGACCATCTAGAAGCGAGAATTGGCAGGATGCTAGAWAAGAATGACGAGTTCAACACCGACAACGAAGAGGCGGAAACTGAAGAGTTTTCTTCCGACTTCGATGAAACGCCTCTAACTAACAGTGTTGCAGAATACAACATCGGAGGGACAACTGCACCTCCTTCTGAGGAAGCACAGGAGGAGCAGGAGCCTGATGAAAGCGAAGAAAGCCCCGCAGAGAGCCCTGCATCACACATCCAGCACGACAATGCACAAACAAACACTACTGTCCTTAAGAGGCACGAGCAGGACTTAGAAGCACAAGTGAATGTAGCTTTGCATGTTTCTACAGAAGATCAGGTTGTGATAAAGATAGAGCAGAACCTGGAGGAATGTAACAATGAAGATACCCCATCTGAGTGTTGTATTGCTCCAGTGAAAGAGGAGCAGACGGATAATTATCCATCAAAGCTGACAGGTGAAATAAAAGAAAAAGCAGARAGCTTGTCTTGTTTCGGAGCGGCAGGTCTTGCACACGTCAACCAGCTCCACATTAAGGAACGTCAGCATAGWTCGAGGAGCAGCGATGAGGTGATAGAAGACAACATCGTGCGCCATGTTTTACTGCTGGATGAAAGTGACAGCAAATCACACAAGTGGGGAAACCAGGAGCAAGCTGTTAAAATGGAGCTCAGCACCGAAGCAAATGGAGATTACGACGCAAGCGATGATGCATCACTAGCTAAAGAGGACAGCGAAATTTTGGCCCAGAACCCTGGAATTCTGTCTGTTTCAGCCAAGACTAACTTTGCACAAGTAAACAACACAAGGACTGAGAGGCATTTACAAACTCATACATCTAGTTATAAGCAACTCAAATTAAGCTTTAATGACGTCCGTCTAACAAACTGTAAACAGGAACAAAAGCAAACCACAGATACCTGCGTGGATACATCAGAACCTTGCAGAGAAATGCCAGTACTTGAGAAAGAATGCCACATTGAGGAACAGCAGCTTCTTGAAACGTGCAAARAGGAAGAAGAGGCTGATAAACTGGAGCTGAAGCAGGAGGAGGAAGTTGAGATGATGACAGAGGACGAGACGCAGGAAATGTCAGATATTAACAATGGTAATATCTTTTTTGTAATATTTTTAATTAACATATTAAGAATTTGCTTGCACTGTCAAGAGCAGTGTGTAAAGGATTATAATCAAAACAAACTGATTCCAAATTTGAATGAAGATTTTTAAAATTAGCTGGAGCATTAGAGAGTTTAAAGCTTTTTCTTTTAATTTTATTTTGTTTTTCTTCAGGTAACGTGGCGTCCACAGACAAAGCTGCCGAAGTCCCGTGCACGGAGAAACCGTTTTCTTGTGTCCTTTGTGGGCGAAATTTCACGGACATCGCCGAACTGAACCGACACATCAYGCGTCACAGATTGTAACCTTTTCTTTAATGTTGCAAATGTCCGAGGCAACTCCCACCGCTGCTTTTTGAAAGTTGATTATTTTAATTCACTGAAAACATTTTTTTTTCGTTTAACTATTGGTAATTACCAATTTACAAATAGATTTTTTTTATTATTTTTTAAACTTTTTCAAATAGTTTTTACTGAACAACTCTTATATATTTAGTTTAATTGGGAGCGATCACTAAAAACTTGAGAACAAGATGGTAACTGTACATAGACCTATCTTTGCAATTAAGGTCTTGTTTAGATTTTCTGTTTTGTTTGCAGGTATTATTGATACTCATGAGTTTGTCAGAGGCTTTTCCCAACAAAGTGTTACAGTTATTACTGCAAAAATAAAAAATAAAACTGTGAATCATTCTTGTATTGAAACATTGTTCAACATCAAAACCATATTGCTGATAAAATTGTGGTCCATTCAAGCATTGTTTGGATATTTGAATTTGTCATTTACTTTGAAATATTCTTTGTATTATATTTTWAACTACTGTTTACACAGTCGATATTTTCTTCAGTTTATGTCCCTGTGGCTGTAAATGTTACTGATTTTGTTGCTTTGTTTTTGAAACGTATAGTTTGAGTAAAGAGATTTTCTCCTGGGCAATCATTACGTTTTTAGTTGTGTTTACTACGGTTGGGCGTAATCGTATCGTGTGCAATTAATCGTCGGAAAAACATTGATTATTTTTTTGCACTTGACGATTAATACGATTAATGCCACCAGGCAGAGTCCGCTCGGTGCTCCTCTCTGCTTCAATTATGACGAACATTTAGGGGAAAAAAAGTTCTGTAATTTATTTAACTATCAACACAATTTAAAGAGTAACTTACCAAAATTAACTTTTTTTAGCTGATAAACTGTCTAGAATGTGTCTAAAATGTTATATAGTACTGTTTCTGTGCTAATTTTAATGTTTTTGTGCATATTTGTTCAAATCTGTAATATTTGGTCTAAAAACGTCTTTGCTGCTCATATGGGTAGAGCAGTGGTACTGCAGGCTAATTTGCATATTGGTTAACGGCTCTCCTCTGTGACATGCTTCTGCAC